TCGTCAATTCTTATAAATAAACTCTAGAGGATAAACTCTTTGGGCATTGAGCAACCCGTCTGAGGGATGCGCCCCGCATTCGACTTCCATTCAGGATCGCAGTGGCGTATGTGGCCTATACAATGACTTGCGGTGGCCAGCCAATGTACAAGTCAGTGCTTTCAACCTACCAGACGAGTCTGGTGCCAATTTATCGACCCCGGAAGGATGGAAGGCTTGGTTGGCCCGAGCGGATATCAAGGCGGGATTCGAATTCGTGACCGTGCGTGTGAGATAGTGCGCCACTTGCCACTATACCACCTCCGCCCTATTCTTTTGAAGAGAAAAAAAAACTTCTTCCTGTATACCACAAGAATGCTGGGACATGGCCAATGCTTTCGGTCTCGGATGGAGGTCCATCTTACACGTAGATCTTCCTGGATCCGTTTTAATCTACTGCCCTCTAGAGACCTAAGCTTGCCGATGGTTTTTCGTTTTATCGAAAGTGCTTTGTATTTTCCTTTTTTGCAAGGAACATCAATCTGGGAGAAGAGTGTGATATAAATCCTCCTTTACATCCTATGCCGTAACGGATGTCAAGCTCACCACCTATGGGAATATGGGTGGTCGGTAGTTTCCAAAGCTCTGCATTGACTATAACGCGCAATCATTTTGAGCTTCCTGACCAGTTCCTTTCCCTTACAGATGGGTTAATGTACTCATAGGTAAGTCTAATGTGTAAACCAGGTCGATTCAGGGAAAAAGGGATGAAATTACAGCTTTTAATTGGATTTACATAGTCTTATTACATTTATTCAGGTCACGATCCACTTTCGGAACCCTGTGAGCCAGCGGTCATGAATAAATCAGACCCGACAAATGTTGAATACGTTCAAGCACCGTATTTTGATCATTCGCTCTACGAAAATGTGAGTTTTCGTGTTCTACACGCGATCTTGATTTGTATACGCTGCGGTAGCGTCGCGGCCTCGCCATCGTCGCGTCGTCTGTGCTCTCTTCCAAGTACCATTGTCTCTTCATCATCATGGTTTGAACATGGAAAGCTCAGCGTTCTCATCGCATACAAATAGCAGCTGCTCTAAGGAATTTTCTTGTGGATGCCACGTATACTGTGTATTAAACGAGAAGTAATTGTAAGTAGAATGTTTCAGTTCTCGGTAGTATACGCATTGCCGTTGTCGAATCATGACAACGGATCATTGATGGCCATTGCATCGTTCTATGCTTTGCTGTTCATGTTGGGCACATGTGGGAATGCTGCAATCTTGGCTGTTGTACATCATGTGAAGGCTTCTGATTCCAGGTTATTCAGAGTTTACTTTCCACTACTAAAGTAGCTGTAGCGCATTCAAAAAGTTCAATTCTTTGTTATACTATTACCGATTCGGGAAGCGCCCACTGAAACGACTCCCTTTGCCTATCCCGTATCACACTCAGTACTCATAGGATATGCGAGTAATCCCCCTTCTGTAACTACTTTTTTCATGAATTTTAGAGGGACTAGAGTTGTGTAGGGTAGCCTGTGGTCCCTATGGGATTTCTACGTGAGCGTTGTTGTGGTGAAAGGCTGAAGATGGGAGAAAGTCAAGGGTATTCACTAAATACTGGTATGTACCATGAACCAAATCCCGGATCAACCAGGCGCCCTAGTCAACACAGCCTTTCATCATTCCGCTGTCACTGAATATTATTCAATAGGTGCGAGAGAAACACCGGCATAAACATAGTTCAATTAATACCCTGAATGAAAATTTAATCCTGAACTGATATTGGAAACTGTAAACTTTTTTTTTATCGTGTTAGTCAACCGAAGGAGAACCAGGCATTACTCGGCATTACAGCAAACATCGATTCAAGGAACGGTCATGAGTTCCCAAGCGTTACAGTCTTCCCGTACACATGTGAGAAAATCGATAAAAAAGGCCAGTTTTAGGTCAAAACACAATACAACGTTAACTTACATATGTATACTGTGTATCGTGGATTTCTTGAGCATGCTGCCTCTTCCTATGACTATAATCGACCAGGTCCGTATTTTTTTGTAAATTTTAATGATTTCATTACCGAAAAACCTTTGAAATCGATGCACAAAAGCTATCTCTCCTTATTTTACGTCTTTGAGTAGTGAGAGACT